GTCAACCACCTCGCGAAAAACCGAAATCAAGGCCACCCGTACGTATTAATGTATTATAATGTATAATATTATTACCTGCAATTAAATGGAGTTGATAGTTGAAGAGATAATAGCACAGTAGTTTTCAAACCGGTGTTCCGCAAGCATTCTTTAGGTGTACCGCGGTCATTTGAAATTTGTTTTTCTTAAATTATGACGGACCACCGGTTACAGTGATCCGCTCGTTAATTACGAAACCGTATACGTGATTCTGATAAGCAATATATTTATTTTTTTTCGAAGGCCCGGCGAAAGGGAGGGGGATCGGGGTTGCATTGTATGTGAACCGTAGCAGCAAAAAAAAATTAAAAAAATAAGTTTACGGAATTTTGAGCATCTCGTAAAACCCGAGTGAAAAAATAATTGCATTGTTTGTTTTGAAGACTGCGGTGTGTCATACGTCACGTACGTACTACATGTTGGACGTTTCAAATAAATAATATAATAAAGTACCTACTTTATATTAGAATTATGACAAGGTCTATAGCACGTAATGATTTGAAAATAATCCCATGGATTATCTTTATGCCATAGATCGGGTAAATAGATAACAAACATCGGTGCTTTAAATATTTTGATATTTTGTCTGTCTTCTATTTTGTCATAACTCGTATATAAATAAAAATATGATTTTAAATAATGGTATGTTTTAATTTTTAATTAGAAATATCGAACATTTATGTAAATATGGGACAAAAAGTGGGGCCCATATATCACTACCCCCGGGCCATAATTTTACCTCGGTCTGACTTTTTGAACACACTTTTTGGCAATTAAGTTATTATAATCGATTTTTAATTGTTCATGCTCCGCCGAGGTGCACCTTTAATAGCCTATAAGAATTATAACGAATATATACATGTGTACAAAATAATAATAAGATAAGATTAGATAAGATATTTTTGAAAATATATCAACTGGTCGACAAACTATACATTTACGACCCAAACGTGTTGAGCGTCCCATTCTATCATATACCTACGCATTAAGGTTATAACATTAGGGATGAAGCGATACTACGTATTACCGATATTCGATACTCCGATATATGCTACCCGTATAAAACCGATACCGATAAAACCGATACCGCCGATATAAAAACGTATTGGTTTATGTATCGACCTACCACCTACCTCTTAGTTATAATTTAACGTATATTATATTCTAATAACATTTTACTTTAAATTTAATTTTTTTACATTTATTTACATTTTGAAAAAGATATTTATTCAAAAAAAAAAAAAATAACGAGAAAACTAAGAAACCGACAACAGTGGCGGTAAAAATAGATCTTACAGCGATTTTTATAAAAACCACGACACGATATTTTACCACGGCTATTTTACTGCCACAATATGTAGACCTCCATAAGAGTACAACAGTTCTATGAAACCACCACGGCAGTATGTGAGCACCTTAAGCGTTTTAACATTAAGTAATGTAAATTAAGTATTGATAAAACATGTTTAGGGATAACAAAACACCAGTTGATTCATCAAAAAGTTGTAAAATATTTAACTTCCAGAGCTTTCAAAACTTTTTGCACGTGTTAAAACATAAAAATAAAAAATTGCCGCATTTCAGTGATCACCTGTAGATTCCGTTCCGTTTCAAATAATTATATTTAAAATAAATGTATATAAATATATATATACGAGATTAAAACAATAAAATGTTTTTTAATTGAACTATTAGTTTTACTTTTAATAGTATTAAAAGGCAAAGAGAAAAAAACAAAAAGAGCATTTTCCTGATGAAAGGTTAGGTTAGGTTTTATGCGACGAATCATGGCCTCAGCCGTTTTACCTCGCGCGCGGCCCTTTAGCGTCTCCCCGAGGAACACACGAGTCTATTACTTTAACGACGGGTTGTCTACTTCGTTGGAGTTGCCATGGTTAAAAAAATTCAGGAATTATTATCCAACATGGGAGACAGTACGATAATATATTATACAATACTAACGGTAAAATATTTTGTCCGTTGCATGGGGGTTGTTTTTTGACAGTAAGGTTTTTTTCGCGTACCCGACGAACGTTTCCACGGCCCGGTGAGGTGGTGAGAACGAGACAAACTAAAACATAATTCTACCTGTACGTTGTGTAAGACGAAAAATAAAAAAGCGCTGATACTGCTCATGGATACGCCACTGTCGTAGGTGAGAAGTTGAGAAGGTAGGATACATAAGGTGTTTTAATTAACATCTGTAAGCAACAATAAATCATTGCTAACGACAAACGATTCGAAGTGAATTCTATTTACACACGATTTGTAAGGCCGTAATATTTAATAGTTGACCATTAATTAAAACTAATAATGAACCTTCTATTAACTTTTCAATCACTTTAATTGGTCGAGCATTGATATCACATAGTATCGACCAAAGAAAATCTACGTGAAAACCTCGCAAATATAGATCAAAAATATTTTCAGAATATTTAAAAAAATTTAACATGTAAGGGCCAATATAAGCTTTTTTCTCAAAATGTCAAGTTTCTAAGAATATTACACCATAAAAGACGTCCTAAGATAATGGGGATGGGTGCAGCCACTGTACCTAATTTAATGTATTTCTGTAATCAACGGTAAACCATTGTTTAAGAAAATCTAAAAACAAAATTTAAAATAATGAAACCAGTAATTACGTAAACTTTTCCATTCTTTCGATGTAATTTTTCGGTATTTTGTTTAATAGAAAACAGAAAACTTTCTCAAGTTGTTTTTTCTCTATATTTGAGTTTTTAAATGAGATGATATTTCACATAATAATCATAGGAAATATGAAAATTTGAAAACGCTTATATCTCTACGTAACTTTGACATATCGTAGACAAAGGTTTTTAAATTTGCATACACATGTGGATGAAAGGGTATGTGTTCAAAATTCAAACCTTTAAGGATTTCTGACACAGTGTTTTGGTGATTTTAAGTATAATAATCGAAGCCAATAGATAACAAGTAATAACCATTAACCACACATTTCTCGTACAGCTTTATTAATTATCAACAAATAGTTACCACTTTTTAGGATTAACAGTTTTTCGATAACAGAATAAATTATTATAATCATAGAGTAATAAAACCATATTTTACACAACCATTTGTTGTATCATTTGTATTATGATATTACAATTAATTTCGGATATCGTTTGTATAAGTTTTGTTTTCGTTTTACTTTAGATTCTAAGCGAAGCGAACAAATGTGTGTTTTTTCTATCTATTTACAACTCTTCTCCGGGAAATCTTGCTCTGATGTATAGAGCATAGTACTTTTTAATTTCGTCTAGTTAGTGCATTGGATAGATCATGCATTGATTTTCTAAGAGGTTTTCAAAATAACTGGGAAAAAACCTGAAAGGGAATTATAGGTAAGACAACAAATATTTACGGCGCGCTGCGGCGTTTCATTGTTTTTTAATTTTTGCAACTTATATTTTCTACCAGAAATATTGCTCCAATCGAAAAATGATTTTTTGATGTCTAGAGTATTTTAGATTCTGAGGAGATCGAAGAAGCTTATGATTTTACAAAGATGTTTATTTTTCTTTTCGGTGAACAACTTTTTTACCAGCAATTTGGCTCCAATTTATAATGATAGCAATTTTTCTAAAAGGAACTTTCACTGGAAAGGTACTTTAGAGAGGTAGTTTTTCGGTTTTCATAGGACTTTTCTCAATAAATGTGAAAAACCGAGAAAAAAACATGGAAAACCAGGAAAAATGTGGGAAAACGGGGAAAATCGGTACAATATTAAACAAATATTAATAAAGAAAATATATGAAGCACTTTTAACTATTTTATTATAATATAGCATATATAAATATATATTGTTGACAATGTATCACTATCAACAGAACTCCGCTCAGATTCGTTTTTTCGTAAGCAATGAAATTCCCCTCTATATCCTGCTTTTCCAACTTCTTATTTACAACAGTGGCACATCATTATCATGTGACCAATGTCCGTCTTTTTTTGTTTTCGTTAAAGAATTTTTTTCGTTTAATTACGTTTTTGAAAAATGATTTCTATCCCCGGTTTTAAGTTATTTCAATAATTATTTCGAATTTCGGGTGCTCGAGTAACGTTACACTGATAACCGCTACAAAAACCCGTTTTTACTGTTACGGGGGGGGTGTATATTTTTAAAATGTTCGCTAATGGTAATGGTTTATAATTTTTTACAGTTAAAATAACAATAATCAGTAGCATGGATTTTAAATGAATTTTATGAATCAGTTATCAGCTCTGTAACATTTCTCAATACGATATACGTCGTACATCATGCGTAAAGTCACACCAAGAGCAATATTGTTTTCGAATAAATAAATAATAAAAATAATAACTAATAACAATGCAAAGTTTAACACGCAACGTTCTCTTATTTTATAATAAATAGACATACAATTTTAAATTTTATAATAATTAATAAAATAATATGATCGTATTGCTGTGATCCAAAATTCGTTATAAACAAGCGACGTACGTAATTTAGAAGGCCGTGGTGCAAATTATGTCGGTGATAGCGATACAGAGTGGGCAATTTAGGAGATGCGCTACGGTGCTCTTTTACTACGAGTATACAATTCATAAATATAAATGTGTTTTGTTGTGTTTTCTACATTATATAATATTATTATTACATATACGAATATTTGGTCGCGATTCCAACAGTAGGTATATATAATCAAAACGAACTCGATTTTGTGCGATTCGTACCAAAGCGAAACAATATCTGATTTTTTTTTTATAATCGGTTTTTTTTTTTTTTATTATTGTCACGTCACTTCGGTATGACAATTATTTCGGAAATCCGTCAGCAATAAAATAACGTGTTGTATTACTAAATTGTTTGTTCTTTTCTCGAAATCGGCGATATAACACGTCTTGTATAAGTTTTTTTTTTTTTTACCGCATTTTATCTATAACTAGTGTCATTATAATTTATTAATATTATCGGCAATAATACGACGAAAACCTACCTGTGTCTACTGCACATGGCGCTCAGTTCACTGGCGCATTTCGTTCAAAATATAAAAATAATACATTTGACATGCCGGTAATGTCTATTTTGTTTTCGCATTAGTAATTATATTACTGCGTCGTTTACATACAATATCACGTCGAAATATAATTAAATTATTCCGCCGGAAAATGATCGTAAACTTGAATCACTTTAAAGAACAACGGCCCGGTATTACTTCGTTTTTAACTGGAATCACGTATTTCAAAACCAATAATATAAACGCAAACGCCCGGAAGGTTATTTACTTCTTAACGTTCGTACTATATGTACAGATTGTAAGTAGTAGGCACCTAGTAGGTATAAAACTATTCATTAGATCTATTCGTCTAAGACACATTTTAATTTAATTTGTTTTGTCCAGTGGTTTCAGCTTATTTCGTTTCTGACGTTGATCAATTGTTATTTGCTCCAATGGTACTCGGAGAATATCGAAAATTTAAAAAACGACGTATCGCGGGGTAAGTGTGGATCTCATTAAGTTATCAAATATTATTTTGAATAGATGGTCAGTTCTTCGATCGTATATGTCTGAAAAGAAAAAAAAATATTACACACCAAATTAAATTTATTAAAATGTTCATTACTATCTTTTTCATTTGATTTTATACATATATTTTATACTATTGCATTGGACCAACTAAGGTTTGACAACCCTCTATTAACTCATTATCTCCGTTTAATTCTTACCTCACTAACAGGCCTCAGTTCACTAAAGTTCATGGTTTTTTCTCGAATACGGTGTCAGTTCCTTCAGAAACCCCTCAAGGCGGTAACTTATCACTAGGGTTCGGGACTTATCGTGCCAAAAATTCGCAAAAAGCGCTTAAAAACTTCAAAAAAGCCTTGAAAAAATAATTTCAAGCAAATATTATTAGACCAAATGGTAGAAGGGTTTAAATTTCCCCCCTCTAAGGCTTTAACATATTGAATATAAATTTCTAACGCTACACAAATGATTTATCTAAAGTTATTTTTTGTAATAAGTATAATTTTATTTAAACAAAATACATTTTTAATAATAATTTGTGTTATGTTAGAGAATTATAATCAATAATTTAGAATTAGACAGGGACATTTAAACTATTCTACCATTTGGTCTAATAATATTTGCTTGAAGTGCTTTTTTGTAATTTTTAAGTGCAATAAATTCTGAACCCTATTTATCACATATCTTGTTTATTTTATTTTTTAATGGAATCTCTTAGGTTCTTAAAAAATGGTATGTCTTATATTTTGCAGACGATTCAAAAATCTTTACTCAAGTTTCATCAATAATCGATTGTTTAATTTTACAAGAGAAATTAAATACCTAATTCAACTGATGCTAAAACTGGGAAATGAGTCTTAATACTAGTAAATGCTACTGTTTTTACAGATTCCGTGGTCATATAATAGTTATACGTAATTTATAATTAACATTAAACTAAATTCAGTTACTTCAATTAAAGACCTAGGAATAGCTTTAACCAGTAATCAAAACTTTCGGGAACACATTAAGTGTTTCATAAACAAATCTCTACGTGTATAAGATTTTGTTAAGCGTCATTCTTCAGATTTTAAAGATTCGCGATCATTTAAGCTCCTTTATTACGCTTTAGTTAGATTTATTTTAGAATATAGATCAGCCTATTTGGAGTCCGTATTCAAAATTAGACAATTCTTTCATTGAGTGTGTCTAAAATTGTTTTCTAAGATGTACTACCTATAAATTCAATATATAATTATTAATAATCATGATTATATGCAAGTTAAGTTCTTTCTAACTTGCCTGCTGAGCAATACAAAATTAGTTTATTTTATTTTTATTTTTAAACAATTTATTATTTCTATACAATACCGTCACATTTTGATTTAGTGCAGTTTCACAATTCTTCTTCTTCTTCTTTTTGGTTTTGTCCTTTAAGACTTAAATATAACTCTTTCCAACTGTCTCTGTTCGTCGCAGCTTCTCTCCAATTGATTTCCTGTTCCATTGGTTTAATATCTTTCTTCAACCTTGATCTCGCTAAAGGTCTTTTCCCTACAGGGTCTTTTTCTTGTGTCTTTTTTGTTGAGATTAACATTTTTCTTGTCCAAACCATTCACCGACTATGGAAAATTTTAATAATGCATAAAACAATTTAAAATAAATTAGTGCCCGTTATTATTTGACAATTTTAGTTATGTTCATTTAAAGTTTTTTTTTTTTTTTACAATTCCATTTATCCACCGTGTGATTACAACCGTTTGAATGTTTAACTTGATCAATGGAAATATTACACCCCAGTATGTGTTCTACTTGTAAAAAAATTGACAGCAAACCATATATCTAATCGTTTAATTTTATAGTTAGACTTAGTTTTTACTATTTTCAATTCGTACCACTGTTCATAGGAGCCAATTCATATTTACCGGACCACTGAACAGGTAAATTCTCAAATAATCATTAAAACTAAGAAAGACATAAGTATTACCACCGCTCCCCCCCCCAATAGTCTCGTCCATATCTGCAGTTTACTATCACCGCTCATGTTTTTTGTTGAGTTATTTTACATAACGACATAGTTGATACAACGTGAACTGCAATAGTAAACTGTTTACGAAATAATTCACAGACCATTAGTAAATTGTATTCATAAGATTATTACTAAAATAGTGTGCACATTTTAACAGGACACACATGGTTTTACTACAAATTCTTGCTCGTGTTTCAAATGTGTGATGTAATGATTTCAGCGTACGAGAGTTACCAATTAAGAAAAGTCAAGTCCTACGTGGTCAGTGTATTATTCATTAATTTAAATTGACTGTCATGAATAAATTAACGAAAAAGTTGATTTTTTTATATGCAGCGCGTTTCCTGTTATATATCCCATTGTGCAATCCATAGACATAGCATGGACAAAATTATAAATAAATCGATTTTTAATAAAACAAAATCATGTGATATTAAGTTATTAAAATATTTTCTACTGGAACTAGATATTATAAGAGATAAAAAAAATAATGGTTTGATTGTAAAATTTTAGATTTTAATCAAATGATTAATTCAGAAATTGTATATTTTTAAGAACACATTTATTGAATTAAAACGAGTTACTCTGTTACTTCGTAATATGATGTATTGTTATGGGTCGCAATTATGTTTTATTCGGTGATAAGCTTTAACTATAGTTAATCATTTTTATTATCAACTAACTAACGTAATAGTTTGAGTTTCCATTGAATATTTTAACATTTTAGAACTACTTCTTATAAACACACAGTTATTATAGTTTATTTCGAGATTAATTAAAAACCATATAAATATATATACATATACATTACTTCATATTGAACACTTTCAGTTTTCGTTTTTTGTTTATTTAATATAATCGAGTTAATTAGTTTCTTTAGCTTTCCAGCCTTCAGTTTCATTCATTAATCTTATACCGCGTCTTACAATATCTCCCGAACTTTTATTATAAGAAGTAAAATTTTAGAATCTATAATAGTTATTTTTATCACTATGTTTGATATCTGTACGACTTTTATCGGGTGAAATTTTAAAACGCACGAAATTGTTGTTGTAGATGGATACGAAGAGCACTTATTGATGAACACCTAGTTTTTCTTTTCAAGTTTTAACTGCTGGACAAATTTAATAAAAAAAAATCAACTATAAAATTGATTACGATTATAAAATCTAAGTAAATAAAAACTTAAATCAAACATGGAAAACAAATATTATAAAGTACCTGACGGATAACATTTATTCGATAAACCGAATTCGAGTGACACCTAATCAGTATGCTGTATAGTGTATTTAATCGATTGGTAACTAGGGTAGGTTAGACCGCTATATATCCAATGAAATATTCAAAAATTATTTTATAGATAGATTGAACTGATAACATTTTTGTTGAATTCCACTTTGTCGTTGCGGGAGGAAAGGGTTTTTTTTTAGCTTCGTACACTTCTATAAAGTGTAATTTATCAATTTAATATAAAACGCTATTTCACAAAGTATTGATTTTTTCGAGAACATTTTTTCTGAAAGTTTAAGAAACAAGCAACACTAAAATGTTAAATTATTTTTTTTTTTTGAAAAATAACGAGACTGTTTTGTTTTAAATTAATCATCGTGAAGACCCCAAATGAACCAAGGGAATGTAATTTTGTGTACACATAGTTTAAGTATAAAGGATGCGCCTTTTAAGAGTTTCAACTTTTAAGTTGTTTCTCAACCAATTGTATGCCCGAATTTCATATTTTCACAGGGAATACCGGGTTTAAAATACTACTATACAAACGTATAAAACGAAATTAAATGTAACGACATAGAGTCAGCTGGCGAAAAGTATTTGCTGCTTACGGGTTTTTTTTTATTTATTCTGAATGTAATGTAATAAAATATACTTGTCAAATTAGATATGCCGATTATTGACATATCCGTACATAGGATCAAGCGTATTAAAAACCTATACGATATACAAATATACTTTCTGCCGAAAAATACAGGGCTTAAATTTAATATTATACAAATAAATATTGCAAAAAATATATCATATTTCGTTGCGTTTACATACCTACTATATTTTTAGTACGTAACTCGCAAATTTCACATCGCAAAAAAAAAAAAAATGTTGAAAAAAAAACAATAATTATTATAGGTAGGTATTTAATATATTTTTTACACGCAAAAGTGGATTTTTTTTTTTTAACTTTTATAATATTGTTCTTGCAACTCGTTTGAGATTTTTATCGTACCCAAGTCTAAAAAAAAAAAATAGATTAATATAATATTATAATTCGCATATTTTCTTTTGTTAATAATGAAACCTTAAAGTGTACCGAACATATTAAAATATAACAGTGCAGTTAATATTGTTATAATTATTTATCCGTAATAGGAACTAATTACATCGGCTTAAATTACATGACAATACTAGGTGTACAATATAAGTAATTTCCGTTTTACTGCCGTGCTTAAATATCTAATTTGAATAATATTATGTACCCAACAATAAAAGTCCAAAAATTAATTTTGTCAAATACCACGAATATCAACCTATTGAACTCAATTTCGGAAGGTAGCCGATAGGACCATAATATTATGTGTACTCTTATTATAGTATTATATCGCACTTTTAAGTGCTAACAGGTAAATTACTGTAATTACAACATAATATCATTAGTAATATTAATAAATAATTATTGTTTTTGCAGTATAACAACATGGAAGGCGTCGGTTTGTGGATAATCTATAATGATCTCTACGTTTTGTCGTCTACAGTATGGTGCATATGTTATCTCAGGCCGAATATCGAATATCACGCAATATATTGGAAATTAATGTTATTCTGTAAGTACACGGCCACGACGATATTTCCCGAATTCTATTAGATTCTGATCGCGTGAGAAACGTGTTGGTTTTAGAACACGTATGATTTTTTCAAACACAATGATTAATCATTGATGATGCAAAACGAGTTTGGTCGACCTCATCATGAAGATGATGCGTTCGTTTTGCAGGTAGTTAACCGGACAATGGTAAAATATAAATTGAGGTGAACTCCATGTGCACCAAACAGAAATCTTAATATTAATTTAAGACAAAGAAATATAGGGAATCAACAGAACATTATTATTATCAGGTGTTAACTCGGGTGTTAATAATAGTTAATAATAGTAATAGTTAATTGTCCGCAATAATAATATTCAATGAAAACCACTGAATGTGTTTATTTATTATGGTATCACTATTAAATTAGTCATATTTATTTGTCTCAATTTGTTCGTAATCTTTTAGTTTTTACAGTTTATAAGGCTTACATAATCTACAGAATGTTTAAGGCCGACAAAGCGTCGCACATTGTTTTGGAACAGATTTCGATACCGTCGGAACATGACACACCGAAAGTCAGTTGACCTTATTATAATATTATGCATTTTATTCGGCGTGTATAATCTTCTTGTTTTTGTTTCATTGCAGTCGTCCGTTACTAAATACCGATATGTGCAATTACAAGAGTCCAAATTTGAAACTACTGCCGAAAAACTAGACAATTTCGTACCTTTAGTCCACAAATCCGGATTAAAATCGAATGCAATAATTCGACAACCAACGACCGTATCCATGTGCAATTGAAAAATATAATATAGGCAACAGTCGTGTCAAAACTTTTATTATTTCGGAATGGGTCTACGTCCTGAATGGTTAATTAATTTATAGTAAATATATATTTATTCATTATTTAATCAATGTTTTGAAATGTATTGTTTTCAGTTTTGTGAAACGTGTTAAAAGTTACATTGTTAAATTTACTTTTTTAATGGTTCTAAAGTATTTTAGGTTTTAATTTAGGTAGGTAAGTAATTTATATACGATTCTAAAAGTATATTTAACATATAATATTAATTATAATGTGTTAAACTTTTGTTGTTTTTTTTTTTGTAGTCGTTGGAATATTGCTTGTATATAAGCATTGTAAACGTAAACCCCTTATTTGGCATTTGCGCTACCCCGGTCATAATATATTTAAAAATTATTTTGACATCTATAATAGCTATAACAGTTCAACGCGCTAAACAAAAACAATATTACCAGTTTGTGACGTGTATACATATATATCTATACGTATAATACGCGCATGCCAATATAATGTGTACGTATTATATGATATATACCAGTAAACTAAAAACAATTTTGTACAAAAGCGACGTGAATAGGAAGTAAATATTATGTGTTTTAAATGAAATTCTTCTCACGAGTCAGGAAACGAATGATGGAATCCGCCATTGGCATTTTAACTTTAAAGTAACATTTTCAACGATGACAATGATTGCTTTAATATAAATGATGTTATAGACATATAGGCGGTACTAGACCTTCGTGGTAAGGGGGGCAAATAATATTTTAAACAAACTAAAACTATTAACACTACATTTTATTCAAATTTCTAGGCTACACTATTAAAAACAACGTTTTCTTTTTAGTTACGATTGGTATATTTTGTTACTTCTATAAATTTAAATTATTAAAAATAATTATAGGAATTTTAAAAGCTCTTAATTTCGTTATTTATATTATCGTACGTGCGCATTGTTTAGGTACATAATTATTATTATAAGTATTTCACACGATTCAAAGCTCCATGCGACGTTCTCAATGTTTTAGAGCAATATTTCCCAACCTACATGGTCTGTGGACCACCGGTAGTCCGTGAAACATCATATGGTGGTCCGCGATAATATACCTACAACATATTAAAAAAGTAAGCAACGATAAACTATTGCTAACGAAAAAACGATTCTGAGCGGAGTTCAATTGATAGTGATGCTTAAGTATAGAATAAAGCAATAATAATATAAAGAATAATAATTAAAAGCATATATTGAAATCGAAATGTATTTTATTTTAATATACCTCGGTCCATTGTATTGCATTTTCGACAATGTGCGTTTCTATGACAACAGTGATTGTTTAAAAAAGATTAAATAAAATAATAAAAACTTAATAATAACAAAAAATAAATAAAAAACAGTTGACAGTAAATCGTAAATTCATTAAATATTAAATTGTATTGCTCCGACTTACTATACGTGTGTAGCACTTTTTCTAAAAGAAAATCTGACTGGGAAGGTACTTTAAGGAGATCATTTTTTTTGATTTTATCTCCAGGAGTTTGTAGTAACTGACTCAGTGGCACAACCAGGATTTTATGAATGGGGTGTCATATATTTACATTAAAAAAAACACGTATTTTAACATATTCATATTACTTAAATACCGATGAAGGGGGTGTCCAGAAAAACGAAACAACCCTCTGGTTGCGCCACTGCTTGTGGTTCTTAATTAATAAAAAAAAGGGTCTTATAAACCACCTGTTTATACTATTATGTAGGTAAATAATTAATTTAATTAAATTTAAAACACACTCACTATTTCGAAATGCGTAGACTACGTGGTTTTTATTACAATAATTACTTTGAGGCCCGCTAATAAATTGTATAGACACACTACGAGTATACAAGTATTTTTTGATATTATTTTATAGTCATTTTTTAAATGCGTATCAAAACACTACGTATGCGATTTAAGCATAATACTGTAATAACATAATATCATGCATATGCTCAAAATTAAAGCTAAATTAAACATTTTTTTTTTATTTATTACGAAATACGTGCACAGTAATTCAAATTTCATGATATAGTCACATTTTCCATGAAATACTTATTTTTAAAAAATATTATTAAAGTAAAAATTTTTTGAAATCATATATTCTAAAATATTAGAAACATTGTCTTTTTTTGGAGTAAAACGTCCACCTACATTTGATTTTCAAATGATAATTTACATTAAATACTAGCTGTCCCACGCCCGGCGTTGCTCGTGCCAATTTGTATTATTATTACAGAGGTGGGTAAAAGTCGCGCAACAAATTTGCATTTCGGCAGTGTTACGAACGACAACGAACATGCGAACTGCGTCTAATAGGTTATGTTGTTTTTTTATAAACCTTGCTATTGTTGTACGTAAACAAGATAACGAGACCAAAGTTGCAATATGACGTAATGGAAACGACGCGTCCCATACAAGACGGTAGGTGTTGCGCGACTTTTGGCCACCTCTGTATTTTACCCATATTCATTATTAGTTTTGGCCGTGTTAGAATTGAATGAAAATAAATAGGTGAAAAGTGGGTATACTTTAGTCTACCTTCGGTGGACTAAATGTGTTCTATTGTGAAATTTGAACAGTGTAAATAATTGCAATTATAATAGTTGTCTTTTCCGTGGCAACCCTTGAATAAACAAAAATCTTAAATAAATAAAACAAATTCGGGTTAGTTACATCATTTATAACTCAAAAACGGCTGGACCGATTTTGACGATCACACGATATTTTCCGACTAATTTTTTATAATAATTAATCACCATTTTTTTTTCATCCCTGTTACCGGGGTAACAAAAAAAATTGTATTTATTATATTATAAGCTAAATTATTTGGCGTTGCTCGTGTATACATACCAAGTGATTTATTTAAGTGGGTACACTCATGATCTCGAAAATTATTACCTTTTTCCGGAATTTGTTTTCCAGAACATTTAAGAAATAAGCTGCTCTACAATTTTATATTTACGTTATTTTTTGTCACTCTTATTTTTGCGGGTAAAACGACACCTATTTTTGATTTTCAAATGGCAACTTATATTAAACAGTCCATAAATAGATGGAATATTAGTTGAAATCAATTTTAGTGTTGAAATTTTTGATTTCCATTGATCCGTTGATGAAATATTCCACTTTTAAGTTTAAGTTGGAGGAAAGTAGTGGGGTGTTATTTGTGTGGCAGCACGGCGCGCGATGTGTTATTAATGCATTACCACTAAGTCCTCTAATCTAAAATTAAAAGTGGAATATCTCGTCAACGGTTTGACAGAAATAAAAAAGGTCAACACTCAAATTTATTTTAACTAATACTCCATCTAGTTATGGAATTTTTAATATAGCTGGTTGCCATTTGAAAATCAAAAATAAGTAGTGTTTTTACTCCCCCCCCCCCAAAAAAAAAAAAGGTTACAAAAAATAATGTATACATAAAACTGTAGAACTGGTTGTTTCTTAAATTGTCTAGAAAACAAATTGCGAAAAAGATTAATACTTGCCGAGATAATGAGTGTACCCATTTAAATTAATCACTCGATATATATAAGCGAAAATACTAAAATACTAAAATCGTGATTAAAAAATAGTGGGTGTGGGTATGACAGTGAAAAATATTTTACGGCCTATTCTCAGACCTACCAAATATACACAAATTTCATGAAAATCAGTCAAGCCGTTTCGGAGGAATGCGATCACAAACACGTGACACAAGAATTTTATACATAAGAGATAGGTACACATTTCATGGCAATTTTGACAAATATTAGTGTTATGCATACCAAAATTTCTAGAAAAATGCCTATTCTCTATTCAAATCTGTGTTCAAAAAGAGGATATCTATTTGAAAAACAAAAGTATATACTTATTTAAGATATATGAAGTAGAGCTTCAAAATTAAAAATGGTTTTAAAGAAAACTTAATCGATTCCACAATAATTTAAAAAAAAAAATCAAATTCACTTACTATTTTAGATTCTGAGTGGAACGAGGAACATTTTTTTTTATATGTACACTATTTCTACCAGAAAGTATACTCCAAAAGAACATTTTCTCTAAGTGGTACTTTAGAGAGGTAATTTTTTTGAAATTCCCATTAATATTCGAAATAATGAGGAAAGTCTTCAGTCTTTAGGTTAAAAAAGATTGAAAAATTAAAAATAAGGTTGTCATTGGCAACAGTTTTTATTTATTTTTTGTTATTATTAAGTTTTTATTATTTTAATCTTTTTTTAACAATTATTGTTGTCATGGAAACGCACATTGTTGTAATCATATTACCACGATTAAGATATTTACCATGTATTGTATTGTTGACAGCAACTCTATCTACTGAACTCTGCTCAGAATAGCAATGGTTTATCGTTTCTTACAGACATACATTAAATTAGCATCTACATCCTACCTTCTCAATTTTCCACCTTCAACAGTTGCTGCACCCATGTGCGAAGTATGTCCGTCAATTTTTTATTTTGCATATGACATAGCTCGATATGCATTGCACGGACGGACAGTAAAAATAAAAGACGTAGTAAATTCAAAAGTCTGAATAAAGTGTAGGTACATTTACAACTATACACTATATTACAACCATGGGCGTGAGTCTAAAGGGATTATAGCTCTCCAAAATCTACAATATATGATTATCTAACTATCTAAGTCTTATTTTATGTAATAGATAAAAATAAATGCATACTTGATAGCATTATTTTTGGTTTGAAAATTAGATTTTCGACAAAATGTTTACAAATTGCAGTTTCTATTGACGAATGTAGGAAGTTAAAATATGATTAGAGTTTAGCATTTTATTGAACAATATGAGGTAAAGTCTTTTATTATATATATATACCTAGTAAAAATTATCTATTGTAGATTCTGTGTGTAACGTAAAAGCTAGATGTTATTCAAATATTTGTTTTTGTTTTCTAATTACAAAACATGAATTGATTTTCCCGGCAGTTTCCCCAATAAAAAGAAAAAGTAAGTAAAAACGGAAAAATGTACAAAATATTTTAGTAAAATACTTTAACTTTTTTTTTCTGT